CTATATGTTGTATGTTTGGGTTCTTTTAAAACTGCTTTTTTACGGCATTGAGGATTCAACGAAAAGAATAATAAATTTGGAGATGTATTAATGTCAAACAAATCCTGTTAAGCAGTCAAAATGACATCTTATCGCCCGACAAAGACAGAAATACAAAGTCAAAGACAGCGATGCAATGAAATATAAACTCGATATATAAAGACTGCTAAGTGGTAACTAATAATATTAATATTAATCTGACTGAACCAAAAATGCTAGACCCCGCCTGTAAGATTTTCAAATTTCTAGTGACCCACCTTTTTATACTTGCTGGGGCACATTTGTGGTGTAGCTCCAATCGTCGATAGTAACACAGAGTAGAGACATACAGAGACGTAACTAGTGTACCCACTTTTTTAGATGCATGCATCTGATTGGATGACGACCTGATGACGACTCACTTTAAACTTGCTGAGCACGCGCAGTTGATCATTTTTCACCCGGTCGCCTGAAAAAAGTGGGTACATGATAACGTAATCTTCCGCAGTGTTTACAACGGTCAGTTACGTCTCTGTATGTCTTATCTACTCTGTGATAGTAACAAAATAAAATATTAATTTTTCGTTGGTTTAAAACATTTCTTCAGTTTGGAACGGGATTGAGCGACGAGGAATTTGAAAGTATTTTTGAGGAAATTGCAAAAGAGCCACAAAAAGCCATTCTTATTTTTGATGGTTTAGATGAAGTTCATGGGAACCAAATCTGTTGCTTAGACCAATCTACGACACTTCCAAATGACCCTAATACTTGCATGCCCGCAATTAACTTATTCGATAAGCTTATTTGGGGTGATTTGTTGAAAGGAGCAACAGTTCTAGTAACAAGCAGACCGACTGCAGATGACTTTTACTCCAGGCTTGATTTTGATAGAAAAATAGAGCTTATTGGTTTCACCTCGAATAAAATCGAAGAGTATGTCAGCCGATTTTGTGACAATAATAACACAAGCGACCTTAAACAAACGATATGGAACCATATAAAATCCTCGTCAGAACTATTAAACTTTATGTTACATCCCAGTAAACTGTTTCATTGTATGTGTTACATTATCTGGATATCTAAATGATCCAAAAAATGAAACTGGTGCTCTTCCAACAACACTGACCGAATTACCAGACAGCCATTGATCATTTTGAAAAATATCATCACAGAAATGCAGACGGAAACTTTACCGCACATGAAGCGTTAAAGAAACTTCAACGATTAGCATTCTGTGGTATGGAGAATGGGCAATTGATTTTTGATCAAGAATTATTCGATGAACAAATGAAAAAATCTGGTTTGTTGAACAGTTTATCCAACCCTATTTTCCCAATTCAAACGCAGTTTTGCTTCATCCACTTAACCATTCAAGAATTTCTTGCTGCATTACATGTGACTGAAACATACGCTCCAGCCGATATGAACGAGTTTATTACGAATCACATTAGAAGTGGTAAATGGCATTTAGTCCTTCAGTTCATTGCAGGACTTTTAGGCAAGAAAATCAAGATGTTTTATAGGGATTACATCGAGTGTGTTTTGGCATTTGCAAAAAACTGCGATGTTATTCATGGTAAACATAATCTAAATGTCAATCAAGTTCTGGTGATGAAGTGTTTAAGGGAAGTAGATGATGAAGAGATTGTTAAAGACGTTTGCGAAACAACTGCTATGAACGATGTTGTAAAACTTCGTGTTGATGGCTTTCATCCAAGTGATAGTGCGGCGGTGATGTTTGTTTGCAAACACATGAAAAATTTAACACAGCTATATTTTCGAAATTATGCAGATTGTTTTCGGGAATTCCTGCAATTGTTACAAAAAAGATGCATAAATATACTAGAATTGATGGAGGGATTCGGAGACAAAGATAAACACATTGGCGCGGGACCTGTATTTAGCGCATTAATGAAATCACACTGTACATTGAACCACAAGCACACTAACTTGACTTTCTTAATGCTTCATGGTGTTTTGTTGGACGACCCAGGTTTATCAAACATGCGTGCATTTTTTGAAAACGGGCATGCAAAACATCTTGAGAAATTTCATTTTGATCTACCCCTAAGTCCCCTATCGTGGAGAGAAGAAATGAATTACACGGCGCCACTGAGCGCTCGTGTAAGGAAGATGATTACCACAAATTGATACACACACAGTTTTTAATTCAGTCCCCCCTCGGCAATGTGACATCTGTGTTGACAAAAACGTCGTTTGCTTAAGCTTGCTATTTGATAATTGATACCGCACGTCTATGTGCATATAATGTAGTCGTGCATATGAGTAGCTATACCTTCTTGTAAATATTATTAAATAAAAATTGTAAAAATAAATGCCACTTTATCACATTTTAGTAAACTGTCGTGATGTCTGTACCAGAAATGTATGGCCAGTGATCGTTCTATCGTTCTTCAGTCTAGTGGGGTGCAAGAGGAGCGCACCCCACCTAAAATATTTTGCACCCC